GGGAAAAGGACAATTCAACAAGGAATTCGTATGCTCAATTTTTTTCCTGTGCCCTTCGATATTTTAGAAGGGAAGGGCACCATTGGCTACCTCAGCCAGCCCTCCCCAAACTTTTTTTAACTCTATTTATTGGGGTGTGCGCGCATGGTTGCGCGTGCACTAGGCGCCGCACGTGCGGAGCTCACGCGCATGCGATGCGCCCAAGTATAGGGGTGATATAGGGGGTTATGGACGGTTTAATAAGGGTGTTGACGGCTGTTCGGGGTTGTTGGGGTGGTACATGGGGTATTGGGGTCTGCTATGGGGGTGTTCGTGATATTATTAGGGGTTCTGGACCCCCCCAAAAAAGAAACAAATGGGGGGTGCCGACGACCCCCGACCAGTAGGTTCCGACCAGCCGACCGGTCGGCGGGTCGGCAGACCAGTCAAGGGTCGCCGACGGTCGGGGTGACAGCAAACTCTATGCTGCCAGGTGCTGCAGTGAGTTGCCTTTCTGGTAGCAAAAAGTCAAGTGCAGTTTTGGGCTTCCAACCAAGGTGCAGTTGGTTGGGAGTCATACCAGTAGTATTGTGCACTGCATTGTTGTACAAGCTGGCGACGAGAGGTAACTTCTCGTCCCAGTCATTCTGACTTGGCTTAATATAATGTCGAAGCAGGTGTTGTACTACCCGGTTCATCTGTTATGCTTGGCCATTTGACTCGGGGTGGTTCCATGACGTCATTTGCAGCTTGGTTCCCATCTGTTCAGCTGTTGTCTGCCGCAGTTCGCTGGTAAACCTTACATCCCTATCACTTACGATTGACGTAGGTAGTCCAAAATCTCTGACCCAGTTATCCAGAAACAGTTTGATGACATAGTTAGTTTAAGCAGTTTCTGGCATAGCGATAAGTCTTGCATACTTAGAAAAGCGGTCCACTATCACGAAGATATGCCTTTTCCCAGACCTGCTGGTCACAAGGGTATCCATGAAATGCATGGACACACTCTGACCAGGACCTTCAGGAATCGGCAAGGGCTTGATGAGCCCAAGTGGAGCCTGAGTCCTAGGTTTGTCTCTTTGGCAAACCTGGCAGGTTTCAACGTACTTTTTTGCATCTTGCATCATAGTGGGCCACCAAAATCTTTGCACTAAATTAGCTGAAGTCTTTTTATAACCAAAAAATGTCCAGTTGCATCATGACACTCACCTAGAAACAAACTACGCAAAGACTCACTACTCGGAACACACAGTCTTTTATTCCCCGACTTTTCAAGAGACAGCAAGCCATCTACCATCGTAAATTCGTCAGAAGTTACCTTATCCTTCTCTTTGAACTTACGAATGAACTCGGACATAACTGCATCTTGCTGGTAGGCCTCCACCAAAGATCGAGTTGGATCATTAGATATGTCGAATTCAGTTACTAGCACGCCCAGTTAATCTGCCCGACGTGAAAGTGCATCAGCTACCTTGTTGTACTCTCCCTTGATTGGATCAAGTTGATAGTCATACATGTCTATCACTTGAATCCATCGCTTAAGTGCGTCAGACAGTACTGGTTGTGTTTTGATCCAGCACAGTGTCTCATGGTCAGATCTTACCTAGAAAAATCTGCCAAGGAGATAGTGTCTCTAGTGGACCAGCGCTTGGTAAAGGGCGTAGAGCTCACGCTCGTAGGTAGACCTGGCTAGCTTCTGAGACGACATCTTTTTGCTCATGTACTCGATAGGTCTCAACTTGGGCCTGTCCTTTTGCACAAGGACCGCGCCTATGCCATATTGGTTGGCGTTTGTGGTCACTACAAATGGCTTATCAGGATCCGGAAGTTTAAGAACCTCATAGTGTGCCAGGGCATACTTCAGTTTCCTGAAGGCCGCCTCACACTCTTCAGTCCACTCCCAAGGGGTATCCAGTCGAGTTAGATCTGTTAATGGGGAAGCTATAGTACTATAGTTCTTTACAAACGGACGATGGTAGTCCGTCATCCCCAAAAACGATCTGACCTCAGTAACAGTCTGAGGTCTGGGCCAGTCACGTATCTTGGCCACCTTAGCATCATCCGGCCTCAATCCATCCGCTGAGATGTCATGACCCAAGTACAAGATCTTGGTGCGACCGAACTCACATTTCTCCA